AGGGGAGGTTGTGGAGATCACTGATAGCATAGGGCTATGGGAAGAATGGTTAATTCACACAATCAGCGTCTCTCCGGGCCAAGGGAGGAAGCCTGAGTATCCAGTGAACATGCAGAGTCGAGGCTCGACTGAACCCACTGCCCTGGGTTCACCACAAGGCAACTCAGCCTCTACAAACACAAAACACAAACAAAACATGGCCCATATGCAGCAAAGCAGCATTTTATTACTAATTACTGCAGACCCTAATAAAATGATACAGCGGGTCGGCTTGCATGATGAGAATATCAAATTGCCTTGCAGATAGGAATTAATCTTCAGGTTTCTTTTCTGAAAATCTGCTGCCTTAAACTACAATGGGTACCTTCTGTACAAGAGGCTGCACTCCAGTATCTTCATTCAGTTGGATCAAGAAAATAGGTTGAGGCAGACACATGGTGCTAGAACCTATGTCATAGAAGGCCTCCATAAAGCAGGTACCATCTGGCCAGTTGACCTCCTCCATGATTGATGTCAGTGTTTATTTGCAGGAGAAAAGGCCAGTTCACTTACTGACTCTTGCTTGAATGGACCCGAGTGATGACTCACACTCCCGCTGTAATGAACTGTCACGTAGTGTTATTAAATATACCGTGTGTACAATCCATATGGCCATCTTGCCCAGGTTGTGGAAGGTGTGTCAATGTTGCAGATGACCTGAAGGCATACTGTTTCTACAGGGTAGGTAATGAGCATGGTATTTCCAGTATACAGCTTTTCCCTTTCTAAAAAACTCATTCAAATGGGTGTTGCTGCCGTATTCTGCCTGTCCGTTACTCTTGCAGTCCAGCTGTTCAGTAATGATGTGTCCACCTGGCAAGTGAGGACTTATAGAGAGGCACATCCTCCCGAATCAGTGTCTATACCCTATTGAAGCCTTTTGTTCCCAGGTAGCTATCCCCTCCCTTCTTAATTCACTTTCATATACAAAGCCGGCACTTGGATGCAGTTCCTGTTGTGTACTATAGAGGGCAGTGTGGGTCAGCATTTCTCTTCATGTTCACTGGTGGCCAGGGTCAACTTGCTACCCATTTTCCTTCTCCAAGGGAAGCATTTTGGGGGGTCAGGGTTTCAGCTGTCACTTTGCACACTATGCTGTCTACCCGTGGGGAGTGGAAAATACCACAGTGTTCAAACCGAGAGCATTTACACCAAGCTCTGCAGGCAGCCAGTTGGACAGCTGAAAACACGTCAGCATACACAGCTGTAGAAATACACCATCTATGTTGTATTTTGTTTTTGCATTAAAAGAAAAACAGTATGCTATGTCAGCATGGGGAATAATATACATTAATTTATGGAAATATTCAAGGGAACACACTCTGTGGGCTCTTGCTTTCAAGTCCAACAGCTGCTAGTCTAATTTCTGGTTTGCAGAAGTGCTGAGGCATTTAAACCGTGAGAAAAATCAATGTCTGTACAGGAAAAGTACATCAAATGAAAAAATGCCTTCAAATCTATATCTCAGTCTAATTGATCAAACTTTAATTGCCAGAAAAGTCTTGATCACGCATTTATAATCGCAGCCATCAGAGCAGCCTGCAAAAGTACCGTCAGGCTTGATTTATTCCGATAATTTGTTTGGCGGACACCTCAGATGAATTGGGTGGGTTAAGATAAGACAGGAAGCGGTGTGATGATGCATGAGGGGGGTGGGGGGTTAGGGGGGGGTCTGATCACACCTATGCACTGGGTAGGAAACCAGGGGACGAGGGGGCTGGATGGGAGGGTCAGGACGGTGGCCTGAAGTCTGCTGAGGTGCTGTAGCTCAACAAGTAAAACACTGGGCTAACAATGCAAAGGCTGTGAGGTCAACTCCCCGGAAGCACCTGTATAATGTAACCCTTCCCTCTACTGTAAGCTGCTTTGGATAAAAGCATCAGGTTGCTGTGCCCGTGCATTATGAAAAACAATCATTACTCTACCCACAGGCTTTGAGTCTCATTTTGGAGCAAAGGGGAGACCCAGAAACCATTTACCCAGACATGGCCATAGGGGATGGGCAGGGCCCAGACAGCAAGCCAACGGTTTGGCTCTGACAGCATGTAATCAGACAGGCTAGGCCTGTGGGCATGCAACCACATTAATTAAAGGGGTATCATTACTGATAATACAGGCATCATTTAATCACTCTTTCTGTCTCTCTGCAAATATCCTTCAGTGACATATTAGGAATATTCAGGTTATGCAGAAATTTTAATTTAGAAGTACCTGACAATTTCTCCTTGAAACCCCGTGTTGAACCAGTAGCTGGAGGATAGGGTGACCCCCCAATCCACGTCGGGAGGGACACTATGAGCTTTTTCAGGTTTTACAAACTTCTTTAACACTGAAAGGCTCCCATGCTTGGCTAAACTGTTTGGCACATCTTGTACTTTTACTGGTTTGTTTCCTTGATTGAAAGACTCATCCAGCTGTTTCACATTAATGTTAAGGACACATGCATGATTATAGGAGACTAACCAATCAGCACACATCAAGAACTCGGCTTAAGTGAAATATGGGTCCTTTTAATTGAAATGGTTGAAATGGTAGTTTACAAACCCTGTCATAGCTCATAGTGTCCCTCCTGACATGGATTAGGTGGTCACCCTACCTCAGGATGGATGTATGTTATATGTGTATTATTTCATTACTGTCTGGTACTTTTCTCTAAGGTATGAGCAGTGGAAAACTGCATTAGAGTTCAGCTGAAGCCGCTCAGGGGAGCCACTTCAGGGACCCTCCTCAGTCTCGAACAGTTGACCTCGGTGATCTTCTCCGCCACGCTTGTGTCTTAATCTAATTGAGGTTAAGACAGAAGGCTTGTCTTCACTGGTCGTACTGTAACATACTCCTCTGCTGACCTCTATGTTCACCATCTATCTGGAAACCTTATTTGTGTCTCTTCTTGTTTTCAGTCTGGCAGCCAATTTGTCTTGTTCAATAAAAAAGAAAAAAAATTACTCCCAGCACAATACATTTACTACACCTTTCTTACTACATGTTTCTACCTCACATGTACTGTAATACCTGCACTGTATTATATACTCTATCTATCTATCTATCTATCTATCTATCTATCTATCATTAGGAGAAACATTGGGTAATGCTTCAACTCCTCTGGGAAAGCTCTCTGCGAGGTTTAAGAATGTGTTTTTGGGAATTTTGATGACTGATGTTGGACGAGAAGGCCTGGCTCGCAGTCTCCACTCTAATTTATCCCAAAGGTATTCTATCAGGTTGAGGTCAGGGCTCTGTGCAGGTCAGTCAAGCTCCTCCACACCAGACTCGCTCATCCATGTCCTTATGGACCTTGCTTTGTGCACTGGTGCACAGTCATGTTGGAACAGGAAGGGGTCATCCCCAAACTGTTCCCATAAAGCTGGGAACATGAAATTGTCCAAAATGGCTTTGAATGCTGTAGCATTAAGAGTTCCTTTCACTGGAACTAAGGGGCCAAGCCGAGCCCCTGAAAAACAACCCCACACCATAATCCCCTCTCCATCATACTTTACACTTGGCACAATGCAGTCAGGCAAGTCCTGGCAACCGCCAAACCCAGACTCGTCCATCGGATTGCCAGACAGAGAAGCGTGATTCATCACTCCAGAGAACACATCTCCACTGCTTTAGAGTCCAGTGGCAGTGTGCTTTACACCACTGCATCCGACACTTTGCATTGCACTTGGTGATGTAAGACTTAGTTGCAGCTGCTCGGCCATGGAAACCCATTTGATGAAGTTCTCTACGCACTGTTCTTGAGCCAATCTGAAGGCCATATGAAGTTTGGAGGTCTGTAGCTATTGACTCTGCAGACAGTAGGTGACTTCTGCACACTGTGCACCTCAGCATGCCTTGCTCCTGCTTTGTGATTTTACGTGGCCTACCACTTGCTGTTGTTCCCAATTGCTTCCACTTTGTTATAATATCACTAACAGTTGACCATGGAATATTTAGTAGTGAGGAAATTTCACAAATGGATTTATTGTATGGGTGGCATCCTATCACGGTACCATGTATGAATTCACTGAGCTCCTGAGAGCGACCCATTGTTTCGTAATTGCTTGTAGAAGCAGTCTGCATGCCTAGGTGCTTGATTTCATACACATGTGGCTATGGAAGTGATTGGAACACCTGGATTCAATGATTTGGAGGGGTGTCCCAATACTTTTGGCAATATAGTGTATGTTAAAGCTGTTAAGACATGTGAGGATGTTAAGGTATACTTACATGCTGCTTACGAATGTTCTATGATGCATTGTAAATGCATTATGAAGGTACAGTGTTAAAGTAAAGCATTACCTAATGTTCCCCCTAATGACAGACAGACAGACAGACAGAGATAGATTCATAGATAGATAGATAGATAGATACTGTAGATAGATAGATAGATAGAGTATATAACACAGTGCAGGTATTACATGTGAGGTAGAAACATGCTTTTGAACATAGAAGGTGGTTGATATATCACTGAAGTGAGACTAAAAGCAGTTTGTAGGCCTTTTTCCCCTCATCTTGTATTCAGCCTCATGTCTCAGTCTCCTTACTCAAGCTTCCTTGGGTGATGACCAGGTCTCAAGTCAGCCGTGATTTGTCAAACACCATGGCAATGCCTGCCATTCCTGATTCATCAGGTCTCATTCTCTTTACAGCTTGGTAAACAGGACACACATCTTGGTCCACCTGAAGGACCCTAAGCAAGGTAACATCCCATGCTAACAAATTTCCATTACTTTAGAGGGCTCTGCTGATAGGATTTGAGTACTAAAAATATCAACAAACACTGACATACTGGTTTTACACCTTACCGGAAAACACAGTTTTGCTCAAGTACTTGTATGCCTCAAGAAATATGCAGAAAAAGTTTTTTAAATCCTGCATTTTAATTTTGATTGTAATCATGCATCTTGCATGTTATCACATTAACAAGAAGAACAACAACAATAATACTAATAATAATAATAATAGTAATCCTATATATAAAACTGACATTCTCCCTGGGTGTCCTTTTGCATGTCCTTGTTGCACTCTGCCCCCAGTTCCAGGGGGTTCCGGAGCATTGTGCCCTAGGGAGGGGTCCCTTTCAAGACTCAAGAGGGCAATCAGACAGACCCCGATGATTACTCACTGCCAGAAGAAAGACAGATTATTAGCCTTTTCAATTCCTTCCGACAACCAGTCACCTGACTGCAACTAAAAATCCCAGTTTGAAATTAAAAAGAAAGACATTAATCGGCTGTGACATCTTTAAAACATGCAAAGCCATTTAATTGAAGTGTCACTATATGCAATTAAGGAAATGGCCAGTGCTTGGTTGATGGGTTTCTGCTGCCACGTTACCTTAAGTCCTCACTATTATGAACACAGTCAACAGAAAACAATTAACATATCTGGCATAAGGAAATGGTCTTAAAGATTCAGCATCAATCACACGTACGATTTAAAAAACCCATCAGAGATTAAATTGTCACACTGAATTGTGTTGGACATGGCTGGCAAACTTGGAAATTACAAATCAACGTATATATGAAAGACAAAAAAAAATATTACTGTTTTCTGTGCAGAGATTAAAGAAAACCTGTATTTAAAATACCAACATTTCAGCATCTAATGATATGGACAGAATTAACAGCAACTCTAAAAATCTGGTTACAGTAGCCTCTGTGAGGATTTCCACATATAATATTTATGTACTCTGTCATGAGTCAGAAGCTGACCTGGGCAGACTCATTACTATCACTGTCAAACCAGCGTCAAATGTAACTCATGGGTGGAAGTGTGCCGTGTCATGCAAAAAAATACCGTTATTAAGGTAAGGACTGGAAGTAATCCAGTGTAACTGGAGCAGTGCAGATTTTTGACAATACATTTGAGTCGGACTGAGGAATAAACTAATTCATCTGAGTTAAAGTTGAAAAACAAATTGCTAAGTCATTTACCTTATGCATGCGGCAAAGCATGTATTGATACAGTAGAAGATTTTTCATTTGAAGGAGAATCTTGATAATGAACCAATAATTAAAAATTGCAGACTAGACTTAGCTCTGTGTGAACATTTATTATGAATACTGTTTGCTCTGATGGTATGTTAAAACAGTTATTGCATTCCTTCAATGAAATGACAATGTTTTGCCAAGGTGACAGTCAACCAATATCTCTTCTGATGGTGAAGGGCACCATTCATCCATCCATCCATCAGTCCATCCATCCATTTTGCAACTGCTGATCCTTGACAGGGTTGTGGGAATTGTGGGGAGGGGGGTCTTGGACACTATCCCATGCAGGCAGCATACGGCACAAGGCAGGAAATACCCCAAACCAGATATCATAGTACACACACTATACAGTACATTTAGAAATGGCTATTGTATCTTTTGTTTGCTAAACTGCTGCTAAACAAAGTGAATGTACTTGTAAATCTAATTACATGCCTGTGGACTACAGGACAGAAACCTGCACACCACTGGGGGCAGTCGCATCCACATAAAGAAAAGTGTCCATTCATCCACAACCAGCCAGTTCCCGCTCCATCCCACATAAACACCAAGCACGCCTGCAGATCACCAACCTGACCAGTTAGAACAGATAAACAGCACCTGATGTCACGCAGCTCCTGTGAGATATTGCGTTTTTCACCACACTGTTTGTTTGTTTCGTGACCTGCAATCATTGTAGGACTTCGGCTTGCTTACCTGGTTTTCTTGTGATTTGGTTCATCCACGTGTTTGGGGTCACGGTTCTGGGAACAAACTTCTTGTTCCTGCACTTGGGTCCTCTCCCTGTTCAGTCATCACAAGGAGAACATGAGAAGTCCTCAGACATGAAGCCATTTCAGGATTCAAACCCTCAGCCGTGAAGATGTGCACTACCCAGTGAAGTATGGCTGTACTACCCAGTGAAGTATGGCTGTACTACCCAGTGAAGTATGGCTGTACTACCCACAGGGCTGCCTTTCTATCCATCTTAACTTGCAATTTTTTAAAGTGTAAAAACAGTAAAAAGCAAACAGTAGCAAATAATTGGATGCGTCCACTGATGGCCAAAGCCCCTGAGCGCAATTATAATCTGTTATACCTGTTAAGGAACAGCATTTATACCCCTTATTGGTAGCTAAATATAAAAGGAAATTTCCCTGTGCTGAAGTACTTGCATGTGTCAGATTCTGGGAATTTACTGTCATTCTGGCCTGTAAGGTCACCCCTTTCTAACATTTAATCCTAAAGTGGCATTTAATGATGAACACCATGTAAACGTTCTTTTCTACAGCTTTCGGTATTACTGTAATGGGAAGCTGTAAAAGCCTTTTTCATGGCCCCATATCCATTTAGGTACAATTTACAACAGAAATAATTTCACCATAGAGGCTGGACTGGTTACAGTGTGAGGCGATTGGCCATCTGTCCCACGTGTGAAGGTGGTTATCCCTGACCTGTATGAGGCGAGCTGCCCAGAATGAAGTTTGGTGCATGTTTTACGTTTGAAAGAAGGCAAATTTTTTAGGATTATTAAAAGCGCAGCCGAGATGCTATACCATTAAGTATACCTATGTATAGCCCGGAATTAAATATTATTATTCTCCAGCGGAAACTTAAACGGACTCACATTTTTCAACAGACAGGATTAAAAAAGATTTACGAGAACATATGATAGGCCTACGTATTTGACTTTTAATATCGTTATCAGCTTGAACGTTAAGTATTTGTAAAACAAACACTGAATCTAAACAAACGAGGAAAAACAAACTGGAATTTGTAGTCATTGAAGTCATATGATCCTTAATTTAAAATGCCTCTATCCCATATCAGCCTAGTGTTAAGAGACTTGCTAGAATAAAACTGACTTGTATTACGTTCACAGTTTACACGCACTGTCCGGGGCGCAATGGTTTAGTCGAAATGCATATTCAGATTCAATTCACGTATGCAAAATAAAAATCTGCCAAGCGAAGTGACCAATAGCTTTAGCGCGGGGCGGAGGACCGGACTGTCGGCGGTAGAAGTTTCTCCGCGGGCGTCGCGCAGTAGTAGAGCGCAGAAGTGATAGGAGACGTAATAATGATCGAAATTTCTGTCCAGTCCAGTGTTGCATAGGATTATTGAGAGTAAGGTAACGCTAGTATTATTTACGGCGTAATTTTGCAAGGTGTTTGCAGTTCCCGTGTTAGTTTCTTTCAGCAGGCTATTTATCCCAGCCGGACTGATTGCACCTGACTGCAGGCAATTTAAAACTTTTATATTTTTGAAATATGACTTTTAATGGGAGGCATCCGGTGAGCTGACATATTGAAGGGGAATATGAGAAGATAAAAAAAACGTATTTGCATTCGGTATGATGGCACGTGCCCTGTTTTGTTCCCGTAGGTTCTACCACCTTATCGGGAGCGTCCTTTTGTCATTGCGAAGTGAATGACAGATGTCGCATCTTTTATTTTAAAGGCGTCTTAGCTTCGGAACCGAAGAGTTTTGTGATCAAGTGCTTCTTTATATGCCATGGAATTCATAGTTGGGGGATTACTCTTAAAAAGCCAGCTGGACACTACTCTCATATCTATCCGAGCGCGCTACGGTTGAAGTGCTGCAGAGATAAAGTTATGACGCTTTGAAAGATTCATCAGGGAAAATAAAATAGTCGGTTAGTAACAGTATTAGGTACTTAAACATCCGGAGTGGACTGGACACATGGATACAATTTCAATATTTTCCTGAAACTGGAGACACCACGTAAATGGTTAAATTTCAATCTTGTGGAGATCATGACAACAACATATTAACATTGTATGTTTAAACGAGCACTTCAATCCTCACCTTTTATTAATGCGTTAACGCATTTTTTTGCTGCACCACGGGAAAATGAAATATCACTGGAGCACAAATTCCGACTCTGCTACTGAAAAACAACAACTTCTATGCGATATGTCATGTGGCCGTAAAGTTACGTTTGTATCCAGCACAGAATCACCGAAAGCAGTGAACCCGGAGTCCGGTAACTGGCGCTTAAGGCACAGTGTGGGAGCGGAAAATAAAATGCTGCCTGAGCGCGGACGCCCTTTCGCCGATCGCAGCCGTGCAGAAGCGCCTGTTGAAGGCTTGCATGCTCGCCCGGGATGTGGGGACCAACGGCTCGTCATGGGTCGATCTGAAGGTGTGCATAAGCAAAAGGGAAACGTGAAAACAGACGAGAACTGGGGACCCGGCGAGCGCATGACTTGCGGGGAAAACCGTACCGGTTGTATCAGAGAGGCCAGTCATCGCTGCGCTGCCTTTCGCCAAATGACTGCGCACAATCCGTGCAACATGAATTGCGATAACAAGGGATCCGCAGCCCAGAGTTCCGCTGGTCGAAATGTAGCTGAAACGGACACTGATGGAGGCTCTAAATGCCGTTTCACTTGGAACGGAGGGGGAAAGTTGAAATTTAGTGCATGGAGTTGGTGGGCGTTTGTCATTTTCCATACCCACGTGTTGAAAGCCCTCGCTGAAGGTAAGTGCATGCCAGTATATTTATAAACAGTCGCTACTATGGTCCCTGTCAGCCGGAATACTGCTGTTAAAACGTCAATACATAAAGATCATTTATAAAAAGCACATTATGCTCACGTATTGGAGGTTTATTCAGTCGCCTTGTGATAATTTTAATCATTAATTAGAAGAATCCTTAAAAGTGTGTGACACGTGACGTGTTCTGTAATTTATGATACTTATTACTGCTTACAAAGTTTTCGTTAGCCGTTACATATATCGGACAATTCAGGGTAAGGTGGGGAATTACACTGCGAAGTGCGTCGTTTTGGTAAAAATCACCGGATTTACGCAGGCTGATGTGGGCAAACATGAAAATTAGCGTGATGCGTGGTCAGTATGGGGGAAGTAGTTACTCACTTTCCTTTAACTCTGTTTATTTTTTTCTTTCGGTTCCGCTAATTTTGAGGATGGGGTAGGATGGGAAGGAGGGATAGGATTTTTTTTAATCACAGTATTTCGTGCGTACCTCGCTAAAATGAGAAATAAACATGTTTGGGTGCGTGTACAGAACAAGACAGTCCTTAAACTAAGTCACTTAACTTACTGTTGGATTTACTCAGCTTCAGACCTTGATTAGTAGTAAAAAGAGAAGCGATTTTTGACTCCAGAGCGACATCTGCGCGAAATGCCCTGTTGTCTAGATGTTGCATATATTGTCTTTTGAGAGATAAAATACTGCGAATGTTACATATTAATGCGAGTGGTGCGGACGCGCAAAAAGCAGTGAAGCTGCAGGCGATGAACTCCTTCAGTTTCACTTGTTAGGGTGAATTAAAAATACTGAAAGGCAAATCTTTACCACAAAATCGGTAATCGGGTTAGGAGATTGCAGATCACCATCGAAAATTCACCCTTCAATAAGATTTGAAGAGCGGTAGTAAAAGAGTACCTTTCATCATACCGCAACATGATTTTTTTTGTCTCGTATTTCTGCTTCGAGTCTGCCAACTTCCTCATTCGAAGGGGATGGCTTTGCTTTTACTTCCATATTTATTGTGACAGGAATAAATCAGAAATTTCGCTTTAATATGAGCATGAAAATTCTAGCGGAGGACAGTGATAGGGTTTATTGTTCAAACCGCTCCTTCAGTTCTGAGTGAGTGAGCTTATTGTTAAATACACATGTCATTAAAATGCCAACATAACTGGATATAATTGTAGTTTGACAAATATCTGTTTAATCTTAACAAATATGCATCACATCACTTTTCATTGTGGCTTATAGATGTTTTGGGATCTCATGATAGAAATCTATAGTGTTGCAGGCAAACAAGGGTTGGGGTTTTATTTACTTATTTCCCTTTTTGGGAGCTACTCCGCATGGTGAGGCAACAAAATTAAAGTGTTTGTGTTAGACTCGGGGCTGGCTGTCACAAAAACCTCAAGATTAACTGGGCATTTCTGGATTACTGAGAATATCATGCAGTATTAGTGTTATTTGGGGTTTATTTTAAAGTGTGCCACCTTGTGGACCCTTTACTGCGAGTCGGTCTGTCTGCTGCAAATGGATTCGGACTTTTTTGCAGTATGAGTCATTAAAAGAGTTTATACCGGTCCACATATATGGTCCGCTAGTTGTGGGTGATGCACAGTATTTTAGAGTATTAACTAATAGACACGTTAAGATATTTAACCCCGCTCATCCCATTATGAGTTTGAAAAAAAATAATTTTTCACTTAAACATGATTGAGTCGCGCCTATGTTGCATTTAACTTGCTAATATTAAATCTAATCGGCGTCCATGGTTGTAAAACTGACTTTTGAATAATAGTTCAATCTGTACAACTTTCCATGAATGAATGATGAGCTTTTGTCCTTCAAGCTGTAGTATACTTACTGCCTGTGTACTTAGAACAAATCTTGTAATACACTGTAATATATGAGTTTGGCTGTTAACGAGCTGTTAGCTTAGGTACCAGTTGCTTGATAGCTGATGAACATTTGTACCATGTACTCAGTATTGATGGCTCAACACTCCTTACGCTGTACTCTGGAGGGAGCGTTGGCATGATCATCCATGGCTTTCCTGCCTGCCGCCGCCTGTCTTTCCTGGACCAGGCTAACCCTGTACTGGATAAGTGGTTGTGGAAAATTAGGTTATGTTTGCAAACAGCAGGGCTGTGATTCTCCCATTTGTTGCGGGAGTCATCTCTCTGAATGTCAGGTGTGTGATGTAGATGGATATGCAGTGAGATGCAAATTAATTCAAATGTCTGAACGTCCGGCTTTGGCTGTATCAGATGGAGGTTTGCCTGTAGGGGAAGGGTGTTGATATTGCATTTGAATACCTATTTATTTGTGCATTGTATTCTGAAGAGGAGCATAGTCACTGTCATCCCTTAATAGGCTACTGGGTGAGTACTTTGATGAGGTCACTGTCATTCCTTAATAAGCTACTTGGTGAGTACTTAAATTGAGTACTTAGATGAGGCAGAACTACACTTGAAACCTGTATGCATGATGATGCTTTTCCTTTATTCTTTAAAGATAAGGGCCCCTCCTTTCAAACCAGAGCCACAGGCCCTCAACTTCAAAGCTGCCGCAGAATATTATTTGGCAACCCGGGAAGCATCCAAATGTGCCTTGTACTCTGTTCTGCATGTTGCATATCCTTTAATAAAGGTGACGAATGCGGGCTCACACTAGGCAAGCTCCCCGTTACCCCGTGTCTGTGGGGGGGGGGCAGCTGCCGGGGACGCCGCCATTTCAGGAGTCGATGATGTGTTGTTCTTCTGGCAGGTGCCAGTGTTTGCTGTCCCTCCCAGGTAACCTTCTTTCTCAGTTCCTTCCTTGATTAGCGGGCTCTATTATGCTTTTGCATAGCTTTTGCTTTCTTACTGGAGTGTAACATTGGAGCTCTATAAATCTGGCCAAACTTGTGAATAATTTTTTTTAAATAAAAGAAATGAAAATGCTCATGTAAACTATCATTTATTTAAAGTGTAAATCAATTGACCTTCAAAGGACATTATTCAGACCAGTGTTTCGCAACCCAGTCCTCTGAGACCACAAGACAGATGTTTTTGCTCCCTCCCAGCTCCAGGTTTGAGAACCACTGATCTAGATGTTTGCCGGTCCAGAGCTTACCTAAAAGACCCGTGCTCTTTGCCCAATAGAAGGATAGTTATCTAAACTTGTTCTCCCATCCGACCAGTGATTTGCAGCTTTTTCCTGCTTGTTCCATCCAAGAACCTGGACATGCTGTTCAGCTCCTTCAGTACAGTTCAAGTCTAACTTTATTTTTTTGAGAATCTGAACAAATAGTGTGGATGATTTGTACATGCAAAGTGCTGTCGCTGGATGTCTAGGCAATGTTTCTCTTCTTTTTTGTTTCAAAGAAAGGAATTTCAGAGGTGGTTATGAAAGGTAAATATTATTGATTTGAGGCCCGGTTTTCTGTAATATGGTAGAAGCTCATACGCTGATGTCTCTATTTACGGAAACCCTAAATGTCCCCCTTAAGGTTAAGCTCCTTCTTGATGGTGCCCTTAACTGCTTACACTGCATTTCATATACTGCTCTGTGCGGTGGATGAATGAAAACTTTGTTTTGTGGATCTTGATTTACTGGAAATGACAGGAATACTACTGGATGGGGTATTTCTGACCCTCTAAGGATACCAGAAAAGATGTGGCAGGCAGCCCCTTCTGTTCCACCTGTCCAATAGCCCTAAGGGGTCAAATCGACTTGACCATCAACTCAGGACAGTTACTTACCTCCCATCAACTAATGGGAAGCTAATTGCCTGGTTTCACTGCAGGAGTTGGGATTAAAACAAAAAACTATTTAAAATAATAGGCTGGTCTCCCTAAGATGTTTCTGGCACAGATACCAACTACATATATAGGTTTAGACTTCACTTTTTTTTTCTTTTTTTACTCGTTAAATAAACACATCACCTGACAGGAAATATTTGGCTTCGCTCCATCTCCCTTCTGTCCATATTTAGATGCAAAGACTATAATATGTTTTACTGAAAGGGGCTTTTCAGAACTAGATATCAGGACTGCGCGTGTAAAAATACAGTTAAATGTTAATCAGAATATGATACGTCCTATAGTCAAAATCAAGTAACTGCTTCTTTAAATTTAATTACAGCTGTATATTTGAAAAATTTGATCTGTTGATAAACTAATGCCCAGCTGAACACAGGATAGTGTGATTTCCCATAATTTCAGTTGCTCCTCCACACCTTTTTGCCTGGGTGTCTCATTTCAGGGGGCGTGCATTGTCCCCTTGAAAGGTTTAAGCATTGTTCTTAGTGAGATCCTGATTTCTTGAGTGTATATGCTTTATGATACAGAGTGGGGTTCTGCTGTTGGCTGGATTTGGTCTCTTCCACAGGACACTGGAAATTAATCTTTCAGAGTGATGTTCCAAAATCAAAAGTTATCCTTTTCTGTACAAGAGAAGCACAAGAAAACACAAGCTCTCCATTTCAGCAGATTTTTAGTTTGGCCCCTTAACACTGTTGCTGGTCACCATGGCCTTTATGCGAATGTTTTCAAATCTTCCCCGTCATTATCCTTGTTTTACAATCATTATTTGATTGTATTAGAGGTGATCACCCAACACCTCAGCTGCTAATGAGGAAAACATGGAAATCTGTGCTTCCAAAATGAGGCATCTAAAGAATGACCTGGAGCTGGACTGTTCAAGTCATGGTCCTCAAGGTCCGAGCCCTGCTGGTTTTCCAGCCTTCCTTTACCTGTTAGCCAGGTGTGAAGCCTCTGACCAATCAGAATCAGTAATTATTAAACTAACTACCTGGGAGAACTGAAAACGAGGCCTGGATTTGGAATCGAGGTCCAGATTTGAAGAGCCCTGACCTAGGAGGGAAAAGATCTTCATACAAGTTATACCGTAATGTCTAATAAGACTATAGATAATTAAGATGATGGTTTCTAGATCGCGATCATCTGTTGTGTTTGAATTACCCTATGCACTAAGAACGGATC